TGCACAGCTGCAACGTTTACCATTTCTTTTATAACATAATCAAAAGAAAAAAAAATTTCCACTTGCCTTCGGTTGAGTCTTCAGTCTGAGTTCATGTATGCTGCCATCTGCCCACGCATAAACAAATGTTCTATGTTTTTCAAAAACTTAAGAACCTCCTGGCAGAAATTTGCTATTTTAATATTCAAAATATAAGAACCTGTTTAGCCAAAAAAATTCCAACAGGTTCTTATATGCGGGGTTAAACTATTTTATTTATAATATTTTACCAAAAAGGTTGTCTTTAGAGATCAAAAAATTGCACAGTGAAACTAAAAATGCACAATGTATGTTAAATGTGAACTGTTGTTATAAAACAATTCGGCTACAATTAAAAGAATGTACAGTATCATTTGTATGTAATCTTGGTCTTGGTTTAAGTGTTCCATGCCTGTATCATCTTGCAGCTCATTTTTATATAAACCAGTACAGAAGACACAAAGTCATTTCTTGTTGCAAGTTTAGATCTGGCATTTTCTGATATTTGAAATATCAAGATGACAAGTTGGTTCCCCTTTCTTTAGACTTGTTACCAGTTTCTCCAAGTAGTTTGAATTTCCTGTCAGTCTATAGTCGACTGGAATCTCAAGTCCTTTCCCATCTCCTCTGTTGTACCGGACACCAATGCATTCAGCTTCAATATCCCCATAGTCAGCCAAAAATCTACTAAAAATCTTGGAGAGCTCGCTTGGGACATGTCCAACTAATAGTTGAGCCTCATTTTTAACAGCAATGACATATTTGTCATGAGCATTGTTGTCTTCTCTTTCACAAGCTAGCACCTCTCCAATGGTTACAGAAGCATCCACAAAATAAGCATGATAGCCACGAACACTAGACTTTATAAATACTTCATACTCTTCTCCCATAAATTGATGAACAAAATAAGAATAGAACTTTCGACTTAAGTCACAAAAATGGAAGGAATTATGCTTGATTTACGCAGCTGTAGCTTAACTTCAAGCCAAATTCGGGCCACATCGACAGACAGATTTGCAAGGCGTTCCTTGTTGTTTTCCACAAAATGACTGCTGACACACTAACTACATTGGCATGCCACCTCACATTGGTTTACATTTGCGAGATTTCTCAAACTTTAACAGTAAAAAGGCAAGGTGAATAGAACTTTATTCGACTGTGGCTTTAAGAAAGAAGTAGAATTAAAGAATGGAAAGCTGTATGATGCCACTGCAACCTTACCAAAAGCTGTCCAGAAGCAAACTTATGACTTTAAGTGTGGAATTTGTAGTCAGATATTCTTTCGTAGACAGCATTTGGAAATGCACATCAAGTTTAAACATCCTGCTAAAGCTGACGTGCAAAATGGTCATTTTGTTGGCCAAAGTGGGAGTTCAGCCGCTTCAACTTCCCACAACAGCTTTGTTGATTTATGTTTGCAAGGAAATAGTCAGCCAGAAGAGAGAATTACACTCCATAAGCAGAAGAAAGGCACCGAGAACTGGCGTGGAAGTAGCAAGCGAAAGTCGTACACAGTACAGTTCAAGAAACAAACCCTTGACTTATTGGACTCTCTCGCCAATTCAAAGAATAAGTGGAAAAAAGTGGCTGATGAAAAGCAAGTGAGTAAATGCCTGGTTGTGAAGTGGAACAAAGCAAGGGAATCAATTTTAGCAGAAATCTCTAAAAACAAACACAAGAGAAATGCAGGCAGTGCAAGAGAAGCAAGACGCAGGAGACAAATGGTTGGCAAGAAAGCCCAGAAAAGTGAGAAATACCTATGTGTGGTGTACTAGAGAGAATATATAGTATATTTTTCAGTGGGAGTTTATCATCAACTCAATTTGTTTCTGTTACAGAACTGCAGTTTTTCTATATTGACAGTTCTATAGCTGGGAACATATGTTGTGGTTCAATGTTCAAATCAGTTTGATTTTTTTAAACTGCTTTATTTTTTTAAAACTGGTTTGTTCTTGATTATAAGCATTTATTCTATAAAATACTGTAACAGTTTATAATGAAGAACAAACCATATATTATACTACAGTATTTTCTACTCCGTAAAAATTAAGAACCTAATTAAGAACCTACTTAGCCTAAAATGCTAGTAAGTACCTCAAAATATAAGAACCTGTTTTACCAAACTCTAAAAAAGTAGGTTCTTACACGCGGGTTTTTAATGTAGTTTTTAACGATGTTCTAACAACAACAAACAATTTTCATTCCAAAGCAAATCCAACAATTTTTGCAAAATACATAATCTGAACTAAAGGCCAGTCCAGATCTTTTAGTAGCTCTACATTCCTCAACGCTTTTGTACAAAATAAAAACATTTACCGTGTTACTGTTTTAGTCTCAGTAATTTTGCAAAATCTTTAAGATTTTATTTTTAGCGCCTTTCTATAAAACAACAGAAACGTTCGACTGTAACAGCAGCAGCACGTGGCTGGGTATCAATCTCCATGTCCAATTCAAATCATCCACATACTTTAATTCATTCATGACATACCTGAATTTCTTTGCGTGTTCCTGTCTGTCCTTTTCTCTCCCTTCTCAAGCGCGATTCGCACAGTGTGCCAGGGCCGGAGGAGGGCTTAGGCGGTTTCTCCCGGGTTGGGTACTGCTTTCAGGGCCAACTTCATCAGGCTGTCTAGACTTCTAGGTTGATTGTTTTCTCTTTCTCTTCCATATGGATGTGGGAACCTGCAGGCCATGATAAAACTGTAGGCACAAATTAGCTGATCAAAAGAACTCACTCAAAACAAAGTCTTCTTCAAAGTGACACTTGGTTTTGGCTACCTTCCTCTACATAAAACACACCTTTACTCGATCATTGGTTCATTTCGCTTTTCCTTGGGTTCTCCATCTTTCTGATTTGTTTGCCTTGTTCCATGTGCTTCTACCACACCCTTACCATTTCCATATCGCACATGTAGTCTTTTGTTTTAGACCATTTTGCAATCTTACCCTAAGCACGTTTTCTTCCTAAATTCATGTTTCCACTTTGTACACACTTGTTTTTTTATTTTCGTTTCCTCTTTTTCTATTTGATTTTTTCTTTCCCTGCCTTTTTTCTCTCTTTGCGTCGCTTTTAGGTAGGACATGACACATGTCACGGCTCCTTCAATTGACTGTTTTTGTATATTTAATGACTCACGCTGGTTCATTATTATTCGCCTTTGTTTGACAGCATTTCGCAATCTTACCCTAGTCGCGAAACTCCCTACATTTATGTTTCTACTCTGTTTTTTATTTTCGTTTCCTGTTTCTTATACATGCTTTCTTATTTCCCTGCCTTTTTTCTCTTGTCCTTCTTTCTAAGCCACAAAACACATCTCTAGTCCTTATTTCATTCGACTGATTTTGCATATTTAATTATACCTTGTTCTCTTCCGACTGCTTTACGATGCAACCACGATGGAACAATGATGACGTATACGGAGGACATGACACATGTCACGACTCCTTGACGTAACCGATTTTGCATATTTAATGCCCCCACTTTTACTGTGATCACGTTTCTTACTAACACGAGATTTCTACTCTGTCTTTTATTTTGTTTGACTGTCTACTATTCCTTTTCTTATGTCCGTGACTTTTTTCTCTTCATATTCTTTCTAAGCAAGCAAACACACCTCTAGTCCTTCTTTCACTTGACTGATTTTGAATATTTAATTATCCTTTCACTTACAATCTTTTCCTTCTTTTCTCTTGCCATGTAAGTCTTATACCCTTCGGTACAATACTCTATTTAGGTCCTACCCATGATTTCCTCTTGTTCTTTTTAATTTCTCACGCGTTTTAAAATGTTTTTACCCCATGTTTTCTTCTACGCATGCGTTCCACGGTGGCCCACGTCCCTCGGAGCATACTTTTCGCATCAGTGTGAGGGCAGATGTTGGATCGTTCGAGCCATGGCTTTTGGTGTTCTTGCTCCACACAGGCACGGCACAGGGGGAATGTTAACTTATTCCCTGCTCGGTAGGGCAACACGAGGTGATAGAGCAATTCCGGGGGCAAAATATCCACTTGGGCAATGCCAAAATAATGGTGGATGTCCTGATCCCTGGGGTTGGTATAAATGAGAGGAAAACGGACCAGATATTCCTTGTATTTGTTTACCCAGGGGTAAAGCGAGGTTACGTCTGCATATTTAATGAGGTCAGGCTCTTCTACTTTGCAATGCAAGGCCACCGCCCGGGTTTTTAATGGATTGAATGAGAGGATTAAAGCCAGCAATTTCTTCGAATTCTTTGACAAATTTCAAACAACCTTCTTTTAATAATGCAACATCACTCTCACAATATTTCAGCAGCTCTTCTGTGAAGTTAAATATGGCGTTGGAGGACCTTGCTGGTTGTACCACGTAAGAAATTTTTCTCGTTTCTTACTGTCCAAGCTGTCTGGATCATAATCTTCTTTGGGGGGAAATGGACCAACATACAAAAAGTTACATTCTTTGTTGAAGGCATGGGGTCACCAACCCATGTGCACTTCCGTCAGGTTAAACGTAGCAGGAAATTTTTCGAGTTGCATGGCAAAGAAGTTGAGAATGTCCTTAAAGATGAGATCGCCACTTTCAAAATACAAAATTTTAGCGCCCACGGTTAATGGCCTTTCCACGGCCCGACCTTGCTCGTAAAGGGCTTCTAAAATAAAATTGCTGTCAAACCCGCTTAAGTTATGGAAAAAGGTAATGACTTTGCGCCCCCTGGCATCAGTCTCCACTTCTGCGAGGGCTTGCAAGGCTTCTAAAAATTCTTCCTTGGAGTCTGAATGATGTACCTCGTCAGCATCCTCTCACTCGACCAGCAAATAAGATTGGGGATGAACACACGGTCTTTTGATAGAGCACATTCGATATCGGCAAAGAGTAAGATAGGACGTGGTGGGGGGCCACTGTTTTCGTTCTTGTTATCATCATCCTCACATTGCCATTGTAACGGTTCTTCCAAGGGGTCTTGTTCCTCTTGTTCTTGTGGTTCTTTTTCAACAATGGGTTGAATATAACAAAAATGGTTCACGTGTTTAAATTTGCCGCAATTGGTCCAACTCACGTGATAGCATTTGTGCAGCTTTTTAGGATTGAAGGGGTAGTGGGCACAACAGAGAGGACATTTCTTCCATGAATCACACACACTTTGATCTGTTGTCTTTGGACCTTTGGCTTTATGAGCCTCAAAACAGTTTTGTCCGTGAAACATGACGCTACAGTCTGGACAATAAAGGGTGGGTTTGACCCAGGCAGCAAAATTAGGACATGTTTTGTTGGTTCTAGTACAGGCATTGCAATTCTGCCCTTCGCAGTTATGGTGTTGGGCGTCGTGTGTGTTGAAACCTCTATTGCAAAGACGAGAATAATATGATCGATTCATAAGGGCAGGAATACTTCTGAGTCCATCAAAATGTCCTTGATGTTTACAAGACCAATGAAATGAGGGGCTTGATTATACTGTGCTTTAAAAACGATTAAACATTTTAAGGGTTCAACCACGATGAGCTGGTACCCTGTGGTCCGAGGTAATCTTGGAATTTTTGCAATTCCTCGAACCCGCAGGGGCCTTCGGGAACACCCGCTTCTTGATGGAGGAGACGGGCCCAACGTTCTTGAATTGGTCACCACATTTTTCACACATTTTTCACGCAAACTAATTCTCTCTAACGGTGTTGCCTTCATGTATTTCTGGAAATTTCGAACACTCATGTCGTCTATACACAATCTTATGCCTAAAATTCTTATACAGTGTGTGCATAAATCATCGTGGGTTGTATTTATCCAATAGGTGAATTCACAATACTGTCTCTGTCTCATTTCTTCTAAGGTAATTCTGGAAATGTATAAAAGCAACAGCGTTTTACATTTTTATTGTAAATTAGGGAATCGCCTATATACTCTTTCTACGAGTTCCTCCGGTTCTTCATCGACATTTGGCACTATTAAATGAGCATCCGGTATATTCCGATACACTCGTTCAAAATTTTCATTCACATACAAGGGATCAAACTCCCGATAATTCATAAATTAAAGGAAATCATCAATTAATAATTTAAAAATTCCTAAACGATAGTCACAATCACACTGCTCATGATTAAAAACCCACAGGGTAAATGGACAGAACGGGAGGCTTCGTATGTCGAGAAGACTGTTTCTAGAAAAGAGAAAGACAAGGACACCTTCATTCGCTGTGTTCCTCCACTTAAATTCCTGTGACCCTAGAATATAATTTTATTATACAACGTCGCTCCATATGCCAATTAATGTGTTGTCCTTTCCATGCCATTCTTAACCCGTCTAGCGTTAAATGCATTTTAAAAATGTGCTCACAATGTCCGGAAAGTCTATATCTTTATACATTTCAATCGTTTCACGGGTTGCTCTAAATAAAATTTAGGAACCACACAGTGAATGATGGTGACCACAAAACATCAGGAACAAGTTTCAAAAGGTTGAGAACATGTCTAAAACAAAGAAATCAACTTCTTACGCTTCGTTTACAAAATTTACATATAACTGAATATAAAGGAAAAAGTTTTCAGGTTTTTCCATGATGCAAAGGTTTCCATGCAGTTGTTCACAAAGCCACAAAAAATATCGACTGGCCATCGTTCTTTACCCTTGTCTCTGT